CCTGTCTGTATTCCTATTTGGAACAAAAATGCAGAAATATCTGCCTATCAACGCAAAGCATATATTAGCGTCGCTGCGTGTTAGTGTTAGCATCACTCACGTAAAGCCTCCACAAGCTTTTGGGCTCGAGAAAGCCTGCCCAAAACTTGGCGATGGTACCGGGTGGTTTCGCCTGTACGACGGGCTCCCTCGGACTGAGTTCCTGGTCCTTCAACCATTGCCTTCGGAGCTTGGTGAGCTGCTCTACACGGAGCTTCTCGTCTGGAGTGTAGCCAGACATGATCGTTTATTAATCTGATATTGTTCAACAACCTCAGCGACACTCCAATGACACCATGGAGGACGTCACGTCGGAACCGGAAACGGATTCGGCGACTGCAGGAGTTCAGTTAGCGACACCTGCTGCACAGGATGATTATATGCAACAAACGTCTGTGCTGTTTGCATTCGTTGTACAACTCGCTTTATTGTGATAAATAAAATGTGCACGTTAAGTTGATTGGACACTCTAAATTGTCCATAGGTGTAATTGTGAGTGTGGAGTGTTATTCGTCTTTGCGTACTCTTGAGATTGGCTGGCAAGGGATGGTGTACCTCGCCTAATTGTGAATGTGGAGTGTTATTCGTCTTTGTGTACTCTGAGATTGGCTGGCAAGGGATGGTGTACCTCGCCTACTCCCCAAAGTCAGATGGTGATAGGCTCCACCTGTAGTGCGCCCACGACCCTCGCCGAGGATACGCGCATCAGATCATGGATGGATGGCATTGATTGTAATTGATTGCTTTATTCCCCAGCTATTCTTCCACCACACATTTAAGACTAACAAGTAGTAACAACATCTTGGATGTAAGCTATGTCCAAACTACAGTGTCAAAGCGTGAATCGTGATGTTCAACAACGACGACACACGCACTGAAAACGTCACAGACAGTAAAGCGTTTGTATGGACGCATTCATTGCGGTTGCAACTTGCACTCATTAAAGTAGACTAACGTTCCGTCTGATACACAAGATCATTTGACCTTAATCAGTGATTCCAGATCCAGGTATGATGTTTAATATTTAAAATATTTTTGATCAAACATCAAAACACGCCGTTGACAAATTTAGTTTACCTTTCCGACATGGTGGATTTGTGGACACTCGAAATTTTATAAACTGATATATGAGCGGTCCGTTTTACCTGGAAGTTATGCTTAGTGCGTAGCAATAATTTTGATAGTTGACATTGGGAGTTAAGAAGATTTTGTTTGATAATCCAAGTTTAAATGACAATTCGGGCTGTGTTTTTATTGTCCCCGCCCCCGCCTCAGCCAAAATATTTTTAATTTCCGAGGGTATTGGAACGCCACATACTTTATAGGGTCAAGTTCCTTTTCTCTTTTCTGCCTCCAGGAGACGGTACTAACGCTAAACCCCAAGGTAGGGCGCGGTTATGAGCGGCATCGAAGAGTAGCGCCTTTGTTTTGTTTTGTTTTTTTTGTTTTTTTATTGTCACTTTTGGGACGAAATGTGCTAGTTTCACTTCTCATTTGTTACTAATGTGTGACGAAAGTGGCTTTCATGTCGCGTGATTGTTGCTCTTTGTGCCTTTCACGAGACACTGCATCACGAACCTGAAGTAACGCAAAACAGGTCGGTTTGAGCCTTTTGTTTTTTTTTCCCCTACATGCTGTTTGCGAGGTTTTTCAGCACAAGGTAGGCTTGGTTATTAAATGATTGGTACGGAGCCCCTTTAGTGGCAGGGTATGGCCCACAAATATCCTGATTCAACGTGACGTCACGCTACCTTTTATTTTTCCGTATTTGTTAAACTGTAGTAACCGATTACCACTCTGTGGATTAGAAAATAATGTTTATTTTTCTCAAACCCACAACCCTGTCACCAGAGGGGTTCCGTAGTTTTTGCGATGAGAATAGCCAGCTAACGATTGGCTCCTCGTCGCGCATCACGTGATCACCGTACCTGACTAATGACTCACTGGCGCATTCAGATGTCCAACTATTGTTCGTAAAAATGTTTGTGTATTTCCTTGATATTTGCGTATGCGCCATCTTGTTTTCCTGCTACCATTGCATTGTGGTTTATGTATTAACCTATCGAGAGGCCATCGATGCTCACTATTAGTAAAGTAATAGTGCACCATGAGTAATTTATTTTGAGTGCGCAACATTTTTTTTCTTTTGGACATTCGGACACCCCTACAAAAAGCCACAACCCCTTCGTAGTGCACCTTATAGTGAATGGTGTACTCGGAAAGGAATTATGAAGTTTGTTGTGGTTCCGGTAAACGCAGAAGTCTTGATTCAACAACTTAAAGGGACAGACTTCAAATAAATAACAAATCTCCGTTCACGTCATTTTTTATGGCGTGTCGTCATCCGTGGAAGTTAAAAACAGCTTGTCTAAACAAAGAAAGACATTTACAGTGAATACTGTATATTAAAAGTCTACACACCCCTGTTCAAATGCCAGGCTTTTGTCGAGGTCAATCGAACAGTTCAACTCAGACACTAACAAAAGTGACTTCCATTAAACAGTTTAATTTGACTGGTTAATTTGAACCCCAGTAATAGTTGCTTGTTCGTTTTTTTAAATTAAAATTTGTTTTGAAGTTCCGGAATGATTTATCCCAATCTCTTTTGTGTATATAACAAAACAAAATGGCATTGGAACAGGGGTCTGTAGACTTTTCATATCCCTGTATCCTTTTTCAAAAAGAGGGTGTTAAAGCAAAAAGTCACCAGAAAAATAAAAAATATAGACACCTTTAAAATAATTCATAAATAAAATCCACTGGTTGGATGTGACATTTGTTGCCTTTTTTTTTGTGGGGCAGTGGTGGGTGGGTCGGGGGGGTAATGTCAATGTGTTAGAACATTACAATGTAGATTTAAGTCAATTGTGAAACACAACTTTTTTTATTATAGCTGCCCTTAAAAATGGCTACAATGCCCTCTCCACCCTCCTGATTCCACAGGATGTCTGTCACTTCGCCCCGCCATGTTGTTTGGGAGTCGGAACGCCTTGTGGCTTACCTCCACCCTCGGCCTTGGACGCCCGGCTCTGTGATCCTTGAGCGCCGCGTGCCCGGAACAATGGCAGGCAGCATCTTTCACCTGGAGGAGGCGGAGTATTTATCCTGGATGCTGGGGGCCAGGGCAGTGGCACAGCTGCTGTGCGAAAAGCTCGACGTGCACCGGTGTGCCTTGGTCACAAGACCACATGTGGACAGACCCGCTCAGGTGTGCAACTCCTTGAGTTCAAAACCACTTTTAAATGGTTTATCATTTCTAGACTTTGGTCAAGCTTCTTCCAAGTTGGTGACGTTACACCTCCCTATTGTAAGTCATGCAAATTGAATGATCATAAAAACTTGGAATAAATATTTAAAATTTTATACCTGGTTAACATGGGATAAAGTGGCAACTTTTGCCAAGGCTTTTTTTCTTTTTCTTTTTGCAATCCTTGAAAACATATCCTCTCTGCCAGAGTAATTATGGCCAAAAGCTAGTTATGTGTGTCATGGTGAATTACCGTCACTTTAATCTTCCAGATACGTATCCTCCCGCTGCACGGTCTGGATGCAGAATGGTGTCCTCACCAGGCAGGTGATGAGGAACAGCACGCCCACGATCCGGGGTACTGCACCTCCAAGACGGCGCCTCGGTGGAGCGACGCCCGCCTGAACGAAATCCTGGCCAAGGTCCGTGCCAAACTCCCCAACCCGGACGCACCACCCAACCTGACGTTCCTGGGAGACGACCAGTCTCATCCCGGCCTATTCTCACGCATCGTCCGGGGCGAGGAGCAGCAGTGGCGTGTGTGGGACGACGAGGGCCACGTGTCTTTCCTCACGCCATTCCCCAACTCGCCAGGCTTCACCGTGCTCGTGCCACGGCGCCCTCTGTCGTCCGATATATTCGGGCTGAGTGAGAGCGACTACGAGGGGCTGGTGTTGGCCGCCCGCAAGGTGTCTCATCTGCTGGAAAAGGGTTTGGGTGCGTGGGGCGTTGGGCTCATCTTTGAGGGCTTCGAGATTGATTACGCCCATGCCAAGTTGATCCCGCTGCTGCAGCCACCGTCTGCCAGGGAAGAAAATCTCCGCTTCCAGTCGGCGTGTCAGCAGTGTGTACACTCGTATCCCGGTTATGTCACCTCAGAGGATGGACCCGGAGCATCCTTGGAGAGTTTGGAGGAGATATACGCCAAAATGGCCTTAAAGTAAAAAGAGTGCACTTCTATAGCGCTTTGTCGACACCAAATGTTGCCCAAAGTGCTTTACGAAGCCTCACATTAACCTATTCACATAAAGTAGAACTGTTAACATTGAGGTTGTCATTAAAATACATTTTGACAAAGTTGTTGTTGGTAATTTCTATACTTCGCATTTGAGCTCATTTATGGCCAGTCATTTTTTCTTCAGTATTTCTGCATTGTGCTGCAGTGGTACCTGGACTAATTTCCTGTCATCATACAAGACTTGCATCTAAGTCATCTTGAGAACCCCAAAAACAAAAATAGTACACTAAAATGTTGTACTTTATAAAAACATGCAAGGACAACACATTATTACCGTTTGTGTGAATCCTGATAATTGAATGAGGATTGTCCTGCTGCGAGGGTTTCTAACGCTGGTCACCAGGGAGCAAGCAGCGCATAAACATATTCCACATAGGTTATTGATGAACTGCGGCATTCTTGCCGGGGCGAGAGAAAATAACATGAAAACCTCTCAAAGAAATAAATATTCAAGTTCGAAGGGCTTAGTACGATGGCAACGGAAGATGGCTGCCAAAAGGCGCGTATGCACCATTGTTAGTCCGTTAGTTTATACATCAGACGTCGACGTGGTGTGGCGCGCTGGCTACGCAGCACCCGCAGCCCCGACCACCCACGCACTCCATCTTGGTGACGTAGAGGAGCGGCTCCACGCTGCAGCTCATATCCATGATGGAGTACACGCTGATGCTGATCTGGCAGCGGAACTGCATCAGGGAGTAGTAAGGCGCAAAGGGCATGAGCACGGGCGGCAAGTAATTGATCACGATGATGGCCAGGGCGATGAGCACCATTTTGAGGGCCTTCTTCTTGGCCGGGTGCATGACCTCCTTGCCGGCCACGGAGCGGCGCAGTACCCAGATGACGGAGATGTTGCACAGCACCATGACGGCCAGGGCGAAGAGCACCACGCCGCTGAACACGCCGTTGACGCTCATGGAGCCGAGGATGCATTTAGCCAGGGCGTACGCCGCGATCACTGCCCACGCCACCAGCGAGATGCCCGTGCGGATTTTGTGGTCCCGGATGCTGGCGAACAGCATGGGGTGGACCACCGCCATGTAACGGTCCAGGCAGACACACACCTAAAGGAGAGGAATCGTCAAATCAATAATACATCGCTTTTAGGGAAGCGGTGTCCAAAACTGTCACGTTGCGGGGTGGTGGTGGACCCAAAAAGCAGGCAAGAGGGAGGAGCAGGGTATATTTGATGAAGTGTATTGATAAAACACAGAAAACTAAATCCTAAACAAACAAAGTCCAAAGTATCAAACAAAACACATGACTGAAGATAAAACATAACACTGACCAAAACATGACTGAAACAAACATGACAGCAAACAAACATGACAGTAGCACAAACTACAAAGCAACAGCAACAAACAAACATGACAGTAGCAAAAAGCAACAATGACCCGACCAAGATTGCTCGGGCTGGGAGTCCTTTTAAAGCTACTAATTATCTAATGACCAACGGGTGTGCAGCTGCAGGGGAGCCCTACAGTGCCACCTGTTGGTCCCAAACCGAATTATGACAAAAACTATGGCCCAAGGGCTAGTTGAGGCCCATCATCCATTTTACGGCGGCCTGCAGCATATCCAAAAAATGACATTTGTCATGGATATGGAAAGATGAACAGGGGTCCTAGAGATTCACCTGAGGGGAGGGGAGGCCCAAAATTATGAGGGGCAACTTGCCTTTGATTGACAAGTTTAACTGTTGGAAAATAGTCCATTTGAACCCCTCCCCCCTCCACCAACGATCGTTGATGATGAAAAAAATTGACAATAATATTGAATGTATAACACATTTTGTCATGAGTCAGGAGACTCAACTGCCTCCATGTTGTTCCCGCACTCCCCTCGGCCCTGCCTCCCTCAGCATCTGTCTTCCAATTATTGCACTTGAACAATTGACTACCTTGGCTTTAACCCGCAACAATCAAGTGCCCTTGGTTGTCTGTTGTTGCTATTTAATGTTTATTTGTTCATATTTATCTGCCAATATTTTTAGCTGTGTGTGTTTCAATGCACTGCATATTTGCACTGTGGTTGAGAGAGTAATTTCATTTGTGATTTGTGCTGTATGTTGCACATAGAGCATATTTGACAATAAAAACTGACTTCACATCAAATCCCGATGACAGACTCGCAGATTCCATATTGCCGTAACACTCACCAAGAAGAGCACCCCCGCGTCCTTGACTCCATACGAGAACCTCTGCAGGTACCAGATCCGCGCGTCGTCCAGCAGCAGCGAGTTGAGCAGCTCAGTGGGCATCATGAGACAGAAGTACGCATCCAGGATAGCCAGGTTGAGGATGAACACGTCCGAGGTGCAAGGGTTGCTTTTCTTGGCGGCGATCTGCCAAATGACCAGGCCGTTGCAGGGGGCCCCAACCACCAGGTTGAACACCTTGATGCCGTAGTAAAAGACAAAGCCGTACGGGGCCACGGCGCACATTTGGTATTGGTACCACAGCGGGGGTGCGAACGCACCACTCGAGTTCATCTTGGAGGGGATGGAAGCTGATGGGATGAAAGGGACAAATAGGAAGTTAAGTATTCAGTTTCTCACATAGGATTGAAAAGGGATGAGAAAAATGAAGAAAAAATGGTTTCAAATTTTTTAATCAGAAAAAAAAAAATCCTAAATTGTAATGTTGGTCATTTACCGACAATAAAATGTGATGACAAAGTTGAAATTGAAAATATATATATATGCTGTAGTCGCTGTCAAGGACAATACTCACAGCCTACAAACTTATTTTACAACAAGCTCTTTATATGTTACGATCATTATTTTGGCTATTTTTTTTTAAATATTACAGAAAAAAAATTAACTGTCAGTGGATGTATATTGTTGACAGCTAATAGCACCGGTGCCTCATTCATATTTAAATGTTTTCAAATGCGGAAAAAAATCCACAAACATAAGAATCCAGTTGCCTCCATTCAGCCTTTATCAGGTATAACATGATTAAGAATCTGCATACACACCAAGAATACAATTTTAATAACATTGGTATTGATATTGTGACAATTTTACAGATCAAGATAAATGCACAGTTTTATGCATTTAAATCATCATTCCATGTGAATAATTTTAAAAGCCCTAATTATCCAAGATATAATCTTTACAAATAGGAAAAGCAAATTATTTAGTTTGACTGAGAAAAAAAGTTGAATCGTATTAGATAACCTTGTATTATTAAAAAAAAAAAATGCCCAAAGACTATATTGTCACATCATTTTAAAGTTCACAGTGGTCAACCAAGCTGAAGGGATGTTTGGGAAAAAAAGGAAAATTAACTTTGACATGGGAGACACAAAAACAGCAATTCTTACCTTAATGACGGTTGCAGCGGCCTCAAGTCAACTGCTAGGTTAGGAACTAGAAATGTCTATGCAGATCATCAGCAAAAAAGAAACACTGTGCATAGGATGAATTCCAGCTGGTCGGCCATTGGTTGGTCCGGTAAACAAAAAGGGGTGTGGTCAAACTCTCAAAGTCCCCCAGGACGTTACCTTTACCTCGTCTGTCCGCGTGTGTTGGTAACTGGAGCTGATTCCGGGTCTTCATGCCTCTGGCTGTTTGGTGCAAACAGGTGACGCAAGCTGAGAAATCTAAGGCAACGTCTTACAAGCATGCTCAAATTTTAAAAAGCCTGCTGGGAATTAAAAAAACAAAACAAGTTAGGCAATTAGAATTTAAAATTGGCATCGGGCGTGCAGTGATGTAGTGTCCTACCTGATCCAGTTGATGGCACTAGAGTGAAAAAAGTTTTTTTTTTTTTTTAATCTTGCAGTGTGCATTTTATACTGAATACAGAGTAGCATTTCAGTGCTAAAATTAATGTGTTCAGTGGAACATCGAAGGTAGAGCCCCCTGGAGAACATTAGCGGCTAACCGCTACGTTCATGTTTTGTAATTTATGCCAAGTAGTGTTTCAGGGGTAAGAAGAATTGTATGTAGCGGAACTTCAAAAGTGGAGTTCAGGGCTCATATAAGTATTAGCAGCTCGGTGGCTAGCCTTTTCGGGCATGTTTTAAATTTAAGGCAGATTAATGTTTTCAGTAGTGAAGTATGCTGTGGTGAGCTGCTATGGACATTTTTTTGGTATTTTATGCAGAATATTGCTTTAGTAGCAAATGGATGTATGCAGTGGAACCTAAAAAGTCCACACTAACATTAGCAATAGCAGCTTGCGGCTTCAGTAATGTTTGAACTCTGCACAGTGGAACCCAAAAAGTGAATTAGCATGAGCAGCGGGCTAACTTGCCACTTCATGTTTGCATTTTGTCATGTTTCAATGGTGTGATATAAGCAGTGGAACATGAAGCACACTACCTTAGCATTAGCGGCTAACCAATACGGGGATGTTTTTGTGTGATATAAGCAGTGGAACATGAAGCACACTACCTTAGCATTAGCGGCTAGCCAATACGGGCATGTTTTCGATTCAATATTGAATAGTATTTCAGTGTGCAGTGGATCTCTCTTTCTCTCTCTCTCTCTCATATATTATATCTATACAGTATCTATATCTATATCTATAGATATAGATAGAGAGAGAGAGAGAGAGAGAGAGAGAGAGAGAGAGAATGTCAAACTTGATCCGGGAATGGAATTCTTCTATTTTGATTATTCCCAATGCAAAGACTTTTTTTTATATGATGTGAAATATGATGGCAAAAGACATTAAGCACTTAACAAGGACATGATATTTTTATTCCATACACTCAAGATAGTGATTAAGAGCATATTTTGTTACAAATAACTTAGCAAATAGCATACATCAGTTTCAGACCAAAAAAAAAAAAATATTATATTAGGATCAACCTATCCCAAATAAACTTTGCCATCACGCAAACACAAGACTTCTCAAACTGCAGGAAAATGACACGGGGGCTTTTTCACTATCCAAAGTAGGACTGTCTTTGTTCTACATGTTCTTCAAGAACAGTATGTTTTCATTTCATATCGCTGCAACAAATGTCATTAAGAGCAGGATTAATCTGCGGTACACTTCATGAGAAAATGCGGATTTCACGCACAAGTAGATAGTAAGAAGATAAGCATGAATCAAACTTTTTTTGTGAGGCAAATGTACAACCATGTGGGTCATTTTCAAGATTACAAAGTAGGGTTTTTTGACATCACTGAAAAGAATTCAGAAATGAGAACACAGTGAAATAATTATGAGAATAATCTCAAAATACTGACAATAAAGTTATTTTGAAAAAAAAAACAAAAAAAAAACAACAGCTGAAACACATTGCAGAGAGTGAGCCATTACCAACACTTTTGAATATTTTTTGGGAAAATAAACCAATAAATAAATAAGACTCATGTGGTGACTGATTTGTGAAAAAAAAATATTAAATTGACCATTGACATCGTAACTTTCTGCCTGACAGTGACGGTTCATTTTTACAACTATTTGTATATATTTTTTAAATTAACAAAAGCTCTGTTATTGACTGGCAACCAGTCCTGGCAGTACCCTCGCCTGCCACTCAAAGTCAGCTGGGATAAGCCCATAATAGTGCAAAAAACAGAAATATCTTGATGAAACACTTTTAGTTTTAAGGGGAATTGAATTAAGGCGTAACTTACATTTTTTAAAAAAAGGATATTTAAAACAATAAAATTACATTACAAAAAAAGCGTACCATAAAGAGACCAAAAGGGTCAAACTAATCGTTTTACGTCAAACAGCTCAGAATGTGATTGAATAAATAGTATCATGTAGTATCATGACAAAAAAAAAAATCACAATTTACTAAGAAGAAAAAAAAGGAAAAACGTGACCTTTCATGAATTATATTTTATGTCGTGATTCTTGTCCGATCACATTTTTCCTAAAAAAATACATATAATTTAAAAAAATTGTATGCAATGAAATGTTTTTGTTGATTTTTGGGGGGGGGGGGCTGACTTTAATCTCATCACGTTGTCATGTTTTTTTTTTGTTTTTTTTTGCCCCTAACACTCCATCCTGTACATCATTGATAAATATCTATGTGACAATACTGTGACAAAGGCATGAGTTGGCTAAAATATATTCTCTCACATGAAATACATTGTCATCTTTCCTGACTTTGCCTTCATAGAAAATTCAAGTGCTTTTTAAAAGGTCGCAGAAGGACAGGCAACATTGATCAACGTGACGCTAGGACGGAAAAAAAAAATTCAAGTATTATATAAGGACAAAAGCAAGTTTTTGAGCAAGTGTGTATAATTTTGATCTGATGTTCTTTACATCCTCCAACGACATTAAAGGCGACTAAACTGAACTTGAAAACCAGTTTTGTTATGTATTGACGCAAATTTCACACTTTTCGTCAGACAGCGGCGCTATTTAAAGAAGGGTCAGTGCAGCCTTAAGCGGCGGGAGTGGTGGAACTCACCACTTTCATCCGGCGGTTGATTCGCGTGTGCCGCCATCATGTCGCCGTTGCCAAAGTCCCGTGCACTCTGAAGCGGTAGAGGCACGTGTACTCCATGTGACCCCAGTTGCTGAGGACGCGCAGCTCCACCACGCGGTAGATCACGTCGCTGGACTGCGTCGGGCCCCAAAAAATGTTTTAATGGGTATGCAAAGAGGCAAGCCTCACGTCTGCTTCGAATTTATAATCAAAAGTTAATGTTATGACCCACTGAAGATGAAAAAGGGAAAAGAAACTCACGGGCAGCTCAAACGTCTGCGTGGGTTCGCCGTCCTCGTTGTATCTGAATGTTCCCAGCATTGTTCCTTCTTCCACCTCATCCTTCAAACCCTGGGAGCAAAGGTAAAAAAAAAAAAGTCATATATACTAATGGGTGAGGTCCACTTTGGCAGTTTTGAACCGGGAAACAATCCGTGTCAAAACAATGTGGAGTACAGTGTAGCTCCGCCCACCACCTATTAGTGATGAGTATAGTGACTACTTATTGGCAAGTATTGTTGTTTTTTTTTAGTGGAAACAGCGTTTGTCCACTGTAGTGACTACTATGCATGAAAGGTTTAACTACTGTCTTGTCGTGACCGATGCACAATTTTCACCTTGAATGACCATCGTGTTGCTCTTTTTTTGTGTGCCTGCCTTGGCCACCAGTGGGGTTAAAATCAGGGGATGTCTTCAATATTTGTCAAAGGTGGGCTTGTGAAGCCGTATGAGACTATTTTGTGACCAGACTTCTTGCAGCTCATCAGTATGACACTAATATTAGTTTTTCTTTGCGGACGATACAATACATGACTGTGAATGCTGTTAAATTGCCTGTCTACGCGTGTTGCTGCATCATTTGTGTTTAATCCATTGCATAAAGGGTTGTAGCGCCCCAATAATAGATGTTATTTAGCATTGCCGTTAACCCAGCAGAGCTGGAAGCCTATTTTTGGAAATAATTTTTCACTATTTTCGGAATCACTGCTAATTGTTAAGTGAGTTAACTACACTTCCACCATCCTGTGCTCTCAACTCATTACAAAAAAAAAAAAAAAAATCA